ACTTCACCTCACAGAGGATGGAATCTGCAGTCTTGGGTCTGAAGAGATGAAAGAAAGAAGGAGCTCTCACATCTGCTCTAGCATGTAACAAACTACTTAGATGCTGCTGTCACGTGACACAGCAATGTCAGGAAAGATCTTCCGGCTCTAATCTAAGCCACTAACATAAATTTTGAAGTGTTGTAATTTCACCCAAACCAAAGGGTCTCTATTAGACTTAATTGTTAAAGATGATTTTCTAAGACATTTCACAATCCAAGAAAAACATCTTAAGACGAGAAAAGGAGGAAAATATATGACCATTTTCTCAGTTACACACACAAATATATGTACATGCACAAAACCCGGTTGTTGTAATGCCAACTCGGATTCATGGTGGCCTCATAGATGTCAGAGTAGAACCAAGAATAATGGGATTACTAATGGGAACCTTGTCTTCAGAAGTAAACCACAAGACCTTTCTTCTGAGGTGCCTCTGCATGGTCTCAGACCTCAAACCGTCTGGTTAGCTCTTGAGCATTTAACCATTTTTAGTGCTCAGGAGACTCTCAACACCTTACATACTATTTATTCACTGATGACTCTACATTAATTTGGGCTAGATCCTAGTGACAGAAAATGAAATATGTCTTTGCACAGAGAAATTTGTTGTGGGGAAAACATATGACTAAACTACAGTGGGCAAGGTATATATACTGAAGGAAGAAGGTCAGGTAAACAGCACTTTCAACATGTGTGGGTAAGAAGGCATATGACCTACTCTTAAAGTAGGTGAGGCAGTAGGCAGGCGAAGAAGACAGGTCAAGGAGCTAGCATATAAAAACTCACAGGCAAATGGAAGGTAATCGGATGCAGAGCATGAAACCAAGGCCAGGAGGCGCAAGTTGCAGTTCAGCAGCTGCAGATCTCAGCAGGATTCCTTGGAGATTATGGACAATGTTACACACAAAGATAGGACATTTGTCTATATTCTGAAACTATGAGCAATTAGAAAAGATTGTCAACTTCAACTTGACAAACTTTGACAAAGATTTTTATAAGCAACTTTGTGGATTCACTAAAAAAGGGAGAGTTAAGTGGTTAGAGCACAAGTAAAATGTCTTTTGATAGACTTTACAGTAACTTAAGCAAACATCAGCCATTTATGCTACTGGTCTAGTGGAGCTCACCAGCCAAGGACCACAGAGGGAGGTAAGGGGGAACCGCAACAGGACCAGTCTTCCTTGAATAAACAGCCACGTTGTTGTTATTGCTATGTGCCATTGAGTCACCTGTTCTGAAGCTATCCCTCCCTGAGTCAGTCTCACTGGCAAGTTCAAGTTGAAGCGGAATTAAAAAAACCCACCAGACAAAAGATGCTGTGCTGGAGAAAGAGGGACAATCTCCTCCTGTACCAGTCAGATCCGATTTGACAGTACACACACAAAAATAATAAAAAAAATAAAATTTTAAAACCTATCAGACAATTCAAGATCCAGTGTGTGATCTGTATATATTCCCTTTGAATTCAGAGAGCACCTCAAGAATCGATATGACACAATAAACACTAATAACCAAACCCAGTTACTGCAGGGTGACATTAAGGATATTACACATTGTTGTTGTTATGTGCTGTCAAGTTGTTTGTAATTCATAACAACCCTATATACAACAGCGCCAAGTTTATTTTTTCTGACACACCTACCCTCAATATTCCAGTCACTGTGTCAATACATCTAATTAATGGTCTCCCTCTCTTTCTCTGTCCCTCCACCCTCCCAAACATAATATCCTTCTCCAAGGACTGATCCCTCCTTGCAACATGCTCAAAGTACATCAGACAAAGCCTCAGAATCCTTGCATCCAAGGAGCAGGCTAGCTTTACTCTCTCTAGGACGAACCAGTTTGTTTTCCTGGCAGTCCATGGTATATTCAACACTCTTCTCCAGCACCACAGCTCAAAGGCATCAATTCTCTATCATCCCTAGTCATTGCCCAGTTCTCTGATGCTTAACATAGCATAACAAGCAATTGTGAAGACTATGGCCTGGACCAGGTGCACCTTAGTCTCCAGACTGACATCATACCTCTTCATATCTCTGGAGAGGTCCCTAAGCAAAGAATACTTGAAGACTTTGGAAAGAAATTTGACTATGTGGATCATAACAACTTATGGCTAACACTGAGAAGAAAGGAAACCCCAGAATTGTGCTCATGTGAAACCTATACCTAGACCAAGGAACTATTGCCCAAAGAGAGCAAGCGAACACTGCATGGTTTAACATTAATAAAGGTATGCATCATTGTTGTAGTCCTTGTTTAATAAGGCAGGAAAAGTTTTAAAAGATCTAAATGGATGTGGGAGAAAGACTTGCTCTGGAAGAAGAGTAACTAAAGTCAGTGAAAAAATAATGAACAGAAGCTTTGAAAGGGCAACTCAATAATATTAATCATTCATAATGAAAATCCTAATTAGAATGGGACTTTTTTTTTTAACTTAACACTCAAACTCATCAAGTTGAAACCAACTCGTAGGTGGTCTTCCAGCGCGTTTTCAGAGGCTGTATACGGCTTGGGAGATTGCCCATCTTCCAATGTAGGAATCGCTGTGGTTTAGAACCGCCTTTGGGTCAGCAGCGGGACTCCCTGTAGTCTTGGTCATGAGTGCTCCCCCCAAGAATTCCAAGCTACCTATCACAACAAAAGGCTTCTGACTGTGTGGATCACAACAAACTGTCGCTGACTCTGAGAAGAATGGGAATCCCAGAACATTTGATTGTGCTTATGTGAAACCTATACTTGAATCAGGAGCATGGTTCAAAATAGGGAAGGTTGTCCGCCAGGGATGTATTTTGTCTCCATACCTTTTCAACCTGTATGCAGAAAAGATGATCCAGGACGCTGGGATGTACTAAGAGGAATGTGACATGGGGATTGGAGGAAGATTCATCAACAACCTGCCTTATGTAGATGACACCACCCTGCTTGCCGAAACAGAGGAGGACCTGAAGCACCTACTTCACAAGGTCAAGGACTACAGCCTTCAATATGGATTGAAGCTCAACATTGAAAAAACAAAGATTCTCACCACTGGGATGATTGGCAGCATCATAATGGATGGTGAAGAGATTGAGATTGTTAACAGTTTTAGTATACTCGGCTCCACAATCATTACTCTTGGTACCAGCAGCCAGGAAATCAAGAGACGAAGTACATTGGGAAGTCAGCTGTCAGGACCTCTCCTGAAGACCAGTGACATCAGGATGGAGAATAAGGTGCATCTGATCCAGCTCATAAATCTTCACAAGTGTGTGCTATGCATCAGAGAGCTGGACAACGACTAGGGATGATAGAAAATTGATGCCTTTGAGCTGTGGTGCTGGAGAAGAGTGCTGAATATACAATGGACTGCTAAAACAAACAACTTTGTCCTGGAGAAGGTGAAATCGGGCTGCTCCTTGGAGGCAAGGATTCTGAAGCTTCATCTGACATACTTTGGACATGTTGCAAGGAGGGATCAGTCCTTGGAGAGGGACGTCATGCTTGGGAGAGCGACATCATGTTTGGAAGAGTGGAAGGACACCACAAGAGAGGAAGACCCTCACTGAGATGGATCGATTCAGTGATTGGGGTAATGGGAGTAGGTGTGTCAGAGACAGTGAGGGTGGCACAGGATAGAGCAGGGTTTAGGGCTCTTTTTGTTTGTATTTTTAATTTAAATTTATTATTAATTTCAGTAAAAATTTACAGAGACTTTGGATTTCCATTCATTCATTGTTGCACTTTTCACCCCTCCCAACTCCCCCCCCCAGTACATTCCCCTCTTGGAAAAGGAAAATTCTTTCATTGTTTTACAAACCCTCCCCCAGGTCCACTCCATCACGTTGCCTTTGCTCTAGAAGCCTGTCATGACAGAAATACCTAATCGCATATCCCTTTTAAAGTTTTCTCCCTCACCTGTTTCAATGCAGTATACATTATTGAACCCATCTTTCTCAGTCTCTCCCCAACCCCAAGATCAGTCCTGTTTTACAACAGTGGCACCATGCACTATTTGTCCTTTTGTGTCTGAGATACTTCACTCAGCATAATGTCCTCCAGAGTCACGCATTTTGAATAATACTGCATGAGTTAAGGAACTTTTCAATGCAGCATAGTATTCCATTGTGTAAATATACCACAGCTTCTCTATCCATTCATTTGTTGATGTTTTCAACTCCTTGCTATTGTGAACAAAGCCGCAATAACATAGGTGTGCATGGTTTAGGGCTCTTGTACACAGGGTCGCTTTGAGTTGCAAGCAACTCGACAGCACATTCACAACTATCACAACAGTACCCCAGCAGGGCGCTTTAGTGGCCTAGTGCTAAGAAGCTGTACTGCAACCCAAAGGCAACTGGTTCGAATCCCAGTTGCTCCGCAGAAGGCAAGACATTCACCTTTTGGGCGCGATTTACTGTCTGAAAACCTGCGGGAAGGTCAGCTGTGGCTCAGTTCTGCCTTTACAGCACACAATAGGCAGAACCCACAAGTATCGAGAACTGTATAAAGGAATCAACACCGTGATACAAAATTTAGCGGACGATAGTGAAGAAAGTTTCACTAATTTTGCGAACAGTTTTTAAATCCTGAACCCCCAAACACCAAGACCAAGACCCAGCAGCGTCCAAGAGCACGGCCCTCGCTGGGGGCGGGGCGTGCGTGGTGACGCAAGGAGAACGCGCTGACGTCGTCCGGGCGCGCCCTGTGGCGGGCTGTGGCGCGCCGCCTGGAGCTGCTGGGCGCAGTAGTGGCTGAAGACAACAAGGCGGCGCCAACGGCTGGGGCCGCGGGGCGGGAGGCGGCGCGGGAGCGGGGCGTTGAGGGGCTGGCCTAGTTGAGGCCGAGCTGCTGCGTGGGTACGGCGTGTGGCCGCAGCTAACGGGGCTGTGCACTCCAGAGGGCAGTGGGCGGGGGACCCGGGGTCCCCAGGTGCGTGCTGGCCTGGCAGCTGGCGCCTTTCGGCGCCCGCCTGCCTCGCCATGATCGACTCGGTAAAGCTGCGCCGCGAAAGCGCGGGCAATTTCTACTCGCACTACGAGTACCTGTGCGCGCTGCAGGACGCGGTGCCGCTGGCCGCCGTGCGCGCCTGTCTGCGCCAGGGCGTGCTGGACTTCAGCGCCGACCGCCTGCGCCTCGTGGACTGGCCGCCGCTCCTGGGCGCTCTCCGCGCGAATAAAGACCTGCCCTGGATCGCAGTCCGGAGCTACTTCCAGCCGTGGCTCGCGGAAACAGGTGTGTGGCTCCCGCCTGCCGAAACCCGCCCGTGGCCGTGTTGCGTTCCTTCGGAGTCCCGTCGCGCAGCGTCCACGGGGGAGCCCTGTGTCCACAGTGGCAGCATGTGTCTGTGGACGTATCGAGTGGCCGTGGACACGGCTAGTGTCCTTGGGTCTCAGCCTCGACTTCCTCTTTTGTAATTTGGAGTTAGTAGCCAGAGTGCTTTTTGGAGGCAAGGTTGGCAAAGCTTCCTAAGTCTCATTCTTGGGGGATGTGGCTAGGAGAAGTTACTCCTTGGAAAGGGACATGATTGGAAAAGTGGAGGGACTGTAAGAAGAGGAAGACCCCCAGTGCGGTGGATTGACACAGTGACAGCAGCAATGCGCTCTAGTGTGTCAGAGATTGTGAGAATGCCGCGGGATAGGACAGGATTTACATCTGTTCATCGGGTCGCTATGGGTTCTAATCAGTGCCGCCGAACAACATCACCCCAGCTGAGTTAATATTTGCACATCGCTTTAGCACGGAGTCTACAGCTTCCTTAGAGCTTTCCACAACGGTTAACTATTTTATTGCCTTTAACTGATAGAGAACAACGTGGTTAGGAAATTAATACATGCATGCCTGTTTATTGATGATGAAGACACTCTCATATTTAAACCATTTTTTTTAAATTAGCATGACGTGAACAGTCAAAAGTTAGGCTGTCTTGGGTAAATCTGCTTTCAAGGACCTCTCCAAAGTGCTAAAGAGCATGTTGTTGTTGCTAAGTGCCATTGAGTCATAGATGACTCGTAGTGAGCCTATGAACGAAAGACCTGAACACTTACATAACTTTCATCGTTTCTCCCAAGTTCATAGAGTTTCTGGAGGCAAGCTATCTCAGAAGAGTTGGGCAGTTTAAAGACTAAGTTATACCTGATGTAAACTATGTTTTTTTCATTTGCTTCTTATGCATCTGATAGTTGGACAGTAAACAAAGAAGACAGAATTGTTGCCTTTGAATTGTGGAGTTGGTGAACAGTATTGAACATCCCTTGGACTTCAAAAGGACAAACCAGTCTGTCTTGAGGGAAGCATATTCCTTAGAGGCAAGGATGGTGAAACTTCGCCTCACATATTTTGAGCATGTTGTCTAGAGAGCATGCTGAGAACTGTAGAGGGTGAGGGAAGAATAAGACCCTCCAGTAGATGGATTGACAATGACCACCACTATGAGCATGACAGAGATTGTGAGGGTAGTACAGGATAGAGCCAGGTTCTGTTCTGTTTTTCATTGGGTTGTAGTCAACTCTGGCACATAACAAGTGCACAGTCGTGTGTTGGAGACAGGCTAGCATTTGAATTCTAGGACGGGAACCAAGTTACAGGGTGCTGTTGTGGTGCGGTCCATAGGGAGTTGCACTTGTAACCGAGGTAACTGTCTGGTGGTTTCAATTTATCTCATGAGAAACAAGGACTGTCCTCTCCCATGCAACTTACAACCTTGGATATGTGCTACAAGGTCAGCTATGAGTCCCAGCTGGCCAGCAGTGGATGGGGTGGGGGGCTGAGTGGAAAAAAGTTACTTTTTTTATAAAATCCTTCCACTTACAGAAAGGCATGGGAAGAGGGGAGAAGGCCTAGAGGTAGGACGATATATCCTGGCACTAGAATTTCTGCACTAAACATAGTGTTGGAGACCATTGAACAGTGTGCTGTGGTAGAAGTGAGATCAGGGATGCTGGAAAAGAAAAGGAAAAAAAACTAAAAAGATAATTCAGGGAAGGCTTCGTGGAACTGACTTTTGAAGGAGGTGTACATAGCAGGAGAGAGCAACTGGTGTGAAAATCTTGAACATATGTGGATAATTGTGGCAAAGCCAAAGAGCTGGCATAGGGCTTGAGAAAGAAGAAGAAGAGTTGAAATTCAAAATCTGGTGGAGGCCAAACAGGGTGCTTGTTTGTCTTATCAGGAGTTGGAATTTTATCCTGAGGGCTGCCTGGAGCCACTGCAGGATTTTCCATCTGCATAGTAATGAGATTGACTTTTGATTTAGAAGCTCACCCTGACTTCCATATAGAAGGCATCCATTTGGAAGGAATTTTAGACGTTGACACAAACAAGGTACTCTCTTGAGCACATTAAAACTGAAAGGATGGAGGTTCAAGGCCAACAAGGTACACTTTGGAAGAAATATTCAGTCTTTAAAAAATTGTTCATTTAAAGCCCTCAAGACTAAAATTAAATTGTGAGAATGGAGAAACAGGATGGGATTTTAGAAATGAGAGTCAAATGCATGGGACTTGGTAACCAGTTAGGAGAGAGAGTTAACAAAAGAAAACTCAAAAACCTGAAACTTAATACTGTCAGGTCAAACTGACTCATAACGACCCTACATTGTAAACCACATAAGACATTGCCCATGTTTCTCATGGAGTCCAACCACCAGAGAAGCATGGTTTAGGACACCAGAGCTCCTGCAACTAGAGATAAGGCAGAAATGTCCCAATTTCTGTGACTCAGCGACAGTGTGTAGTATTCTTGTGGAGCACTGCAGGAACAGAACAGGATGGCAGAGAAATTTAGCTTGCCATGTAACAGTTCAGCTACTGTGTGGGAGAAGCACGGGCAATCTCCGTGTGTTTTCAGCCTCTGAAAATGCCCTGGAAGGTCAGCTAGGAGTTAGTTCCCACAGCAGTGACATGGTGAGATGAGGTTAAATGTATTTATAGCTGCAGGGCCATCTAAACATATCTGCTTGTGAGTCTGGAGAGAAGACAGCTTACAATACAAATTTGAACTTTATGAAAGGCAAGTAGTCAAAGGGAAAAACTGGTCTTTCTAAGTTTTCTCCTCCTAGATAGTTTGTTCACCATTAAGCGCTTGATAGTTTCCCTTCGCAGCGTTCACTCTTCATCCACCTATTTCAGCCTGCATGATCTTTGTCAAGTGGAGAGTTGAATATATTTTAAATGGCTGCTTCTCATCAGGCCTAGGGAGAGCTGGTGCCCCAGTGGTATGGAGTGGCACTGCCTCCGCAACGGCAGGCAACTCAAATCTCTAGCCACTCCATGGGAGAAAGATGGGCCATCCCCTCCCATGCAATTACTGTTTCTGAAAACTCACTGGAGAGTCAGCTGTGGGTTGGTTCCGACCTGATGGCACCCAGTAACAGCTACATCAGGCACTGTGTGTGTCAGTTGTACAGTGTGTGCTCTGCACAAAAGCACCCACAAAAGGAGATGCAAGCCGAGCTAAAAGCCAGACTTCCTGCCAAGCCTTCATGGCCTCTGTTGAGACAGAAGGGGAAAGGTACTTTTTTAACCTTGATTTTCTGTTCTGGGTGCTTTTCTCTAATTGTCTCTCTCAGAAGGTTACCTTTATTGGTGTGCCAGGTATTACCTCTAACCTGCCAGAGGCACACTTTGTCAGCATAGCTCAGACCCACAGTGCCTCTGGGACAAAAACTCTACTCCCTCTCTCTTAGTCTAGTTTGGCCTACCTTCTATTTCTTACTCCCTCTTGCACGCCTGGGTTTTAAATACCTACCTGCAGTATTTAAGGGGCTCTCATGGCATAGTGTGATATATTGGGCTTCTAGTAAAAGTTCAGTCATTCAGATCCACCATCCGCAGGACAAAGACAGATCTCTTCCTGAGAGTTTTTTGGTAATACAGCCTTAGAACCCTGAAGAATCAGGGTGAAAACAGATTTGGTTTTTTGTTTTGTTTTTTATCTGCAGTGTTTACAGTGCCCCACAGTTGTCAGGCTTGAGTGCCTTTCCACCCGCGGGTCCCTCAAAAGGTGATGCATCTCCCAAACCAACCCCATGGAATCATTTTCGCCTTTCTGGATTCAGCCTCAGCATTATCTTGAAGCCTTCAGTTAGATGGTACCAGTTTTGCTTTCATAAAAACCTCTTTGTGTGTGTATATATATGTATCTCAGATGGTTGAAGTTCTGAATTGACAGATGTCCCTTCTGAAGGAAGACTTTAAGGACATGGGTTGTTTCTATTCCTAGCACATACCAAATGCCTTTTATAACTGTCAATTCAGTGTGTGAATGAAATCACTGATTTTCGCCAAAACTTCTTGCTTTAGTTTCTGACAGAAGTAAAGTTTGCAGAGGTCGTATTCCTGCAATAGCATCCAAAGACATATCCTTCCAGCTTTGTAAAGCTCTGAAGAGCTGTTTAAGTGTATCGAGTGTGCTCCAGAACCTGGAGCTGAATGGACTGATTCTGAGAGAGAGAGATTTAACTATTTTAACAAAGGTAAGCCTTCTGAAATGTGTCTTGTAAATACTTCATAGTTGTTTTGAGGGGAGGGAGTGACAGAACTCAATATTATTAATTTTTTACTTTTTTCCCTTTTAAAGGGATTGAATAAATCTGCTTCTTTGGTGCACCTATCTCTTGCAAATTGTCCAATTGGAGATGGAGGTTTACAGAGTGAGTTTAAATTCCATTTAACCGTTGTCCCATCAGACTGCTCTCAGTTTCCCGCATGCCATGTTAATTCTCATCTGTATTTTTTCTTGCTGTCACTTCTGCCTGAACTGCCTCCATTATCTTTGCAAACTTTAGTGACATGTCATTTATACCCTGAATATATAGTATTTGATATTCATTTATATTTTTCTTTGTTCATCTCGTTAAGATCTTCCTAAAAAAACATCTGTACATGAAAGCAATAGATACAAAGTAGAAAAAAAGAAAAACAAACACTATTACCTTTAAGTGGTAAATGTGTAGATATACACAGCTTTTAGGAACTAAAATAGAAAATACATGGATTGTGCTCTGGGGGCATACAGGAGGCCAGTAAACTAAATGAGGGAGTTATTTAAGGAATCACAGATGACCTTTGTTTGAGACTCTTACTAGTCTCAATTCACAAGGATTCACAGGAATCTCAGTTCACAGTTAAGGAGAATAATAATCTGGAGGGATAAAGATGCCTGCATTTCCGTTTGAGACCCTCTATATTGTATTTCTTGAGCTATTACATAGTACCTTAAAAAATTTTTTTTGGTTTATAACGGGCACATCATTGACTGATTATTATTAGAGTTTCAAATATGTCATTGGAAATAATTGCTCTTTAGGGTTGAGTTTTTTTCCATTTGATATGTCTCAAAAGGGCATCTATAGCATTTAAATAATTGCTGTGTTTAGTATATTCCATTTTAGCATCTAAATTAAAATTGGGCTATTAATATAAACTGAAATAATGCTTGGTTACGGGCATATTTAGTTGTTGCTGTTGCTAAGTGCTGTCAAGTCAACTAAAACACAGAGCAAACCTATGAACAGTGGATCTGAACCAGGCCCTGTCCTGTGCATTTCCATCATCTCTGACACACTGAGCCTGTTGTCAGAGTCACTGTGTCAGCCCATCTCATTGACGGTGTTCCCCTCCTTCACTCACCCTCTGCCATTCAAAGCACGGTGGCCTTGACCAACCACTGATTCCCCCTACAGCATACCCAAAGAAGAATGCATCAGTTCATTGGCTGCCTGAGAAGATTTGTGAAAATCATTAGACAGTGATTTTATGAAAATAATTATAAGCGAACAAATAACATAAATAAATGTAGATTGACCAAGCTGTATATGTTCGTCATCTTATTGTGTGTATGTGTGTGTATGTGTTTTGTTTCAGTTATCTGTCAAGGTATAAAGAATTCTAACACCCTTAAGACTGTGAACTTCACAGGGTGTAATCTGACCTGGCAAGGAGCAGATCACATGGCCAAGATCTTAAAGGTGATTTTGTGTTTAAATTTTCATGACTGAAGCATATTAATAGTGTTACACAAAGTGACAACTACATCAATGAGCATAGAGATTTTGCAGCTTTGGTTTTCAGAGAATAGCCAGTTTTCTACCATTTAGTAAGACAGTATACTTAATCTTAGAAATAAGAAGTTTACTAGATAATACAAGACAACCCCTTTAGCTATTTTTAATTACTGAACATATTTTTGTGGCACTGTGAAGTTGTTATTGCAGTCCTTAGTTGGCTTTTCACTGACACTGAGTCAGAACCAAATCATGACTGACCTTCGTTGGGTTTTCTGAGGCTCTGGATTGCCCATGTTTCTCCTGAGGAGGAGCTGATTGATTTGAACTGCCACAGAGGTGTGACATTTGGATTAGCAGCACCGGTCCCTGCAAGAGCTTAGTTGTCTAAAATGACACAAGTGACTGTTAATTAATTTCATTTATAAACTAATAGAAATAACTCCACTGGCATTTTATAAATGTAGCTTTTAAAATATAGTTAGAAAAAAACATAAATTAATAATTTCATATAATAGCTGAACAACACAATAGTAATCATAGTTGCTATCTAGTTTAAACTACTTAATATTTTCTATTATACCTTTTTAATTGCTTGCAATACAAACCAGTCTGGTGGACTCAAACTGCTTACATTTGGATTGGCAGCACAACTAGATTCCAATCCCAGTTCTTAAGAGCTTGTGACTGGTTAAATTACTTAACCTATACGTGCTTCAGTTTCTCAACTGTAAAATGTATATAGTAGGAATACCTACTTGACATATGAGAATTAAATTAATTAATGTGTAGAAAATAGTTCCTGGCACATAATAAGTACTGGGCTGTTATTTCTGTTGATACTTTCATTCTAAGCAGAAAAATTACACTTATTTTGGAATAATCTAAGAATGTTGAGTCATTGCTCAAGAAAGAAATGAATTTTTCTTTTTAAAGCCTCTCTTCTCATTGCATTTGAGTTGAAACTGATTCGGCTGACCTCCAGCGTTTTCAGAGGTTGTATAAATTGCTTAAGGGGAAACTGTCTTTCTCCCTAGTAGAGGCTGGTGTATTCAAACTACCAGAGGATTGGCAGTGCAACTTCATGTGTAGTCAGAAATGCTTGGATGCTGCTTGAGGACAGATGATAGATTTTAGAGCTTCAGCAGAGATAGCATTGAGACTCTGATTCCATCAGACTTAGGAGACAAGAAAAATAAAATTCCTAGAAGTTACAGGTCACGCAGCAGTTAGGTTACACAGCTCAGCAGTCACCTGCTAGAATCTAAGTCATTTGATTCCTAATCAGGAATCTCCTTGGCTGCCTTGTGTTGAGTGCTCTAGCATCTGTAGTCAGTGTGTTTAGTAAATGTCTGATGTAATAAGCTACACTTGGAGGCATAAAATTTAGTGAGTCCAGTTCTTTGAAAAACACAGAGTCAGCATCACTGAGAATCAACTCAAGAGGGAGCTAGTGAGGATTTTTTTGGGTTTGTAGGTATGGCCTGTTTCCATATTTAAACAAGTTACTATGGTCTCGTTATATCTTTGAAGTATCAGACCATCAGACGGCATGAGGAAACCTGGGCTGAGAGCCTTCGGTACAGGAGACCTGACCTTGACTGCATGGCTGGCTTACGGCGGGTCACTTTCAACTGTAATACACTCGTTGGAGACCTCGGTGCAAGTGCTTTTGCAGAATCCCTGAGTGAAGACTTATGGCTCCGAGGTAAGTTAATGGAACTTCTGAACTTGAAAGTTTGGAGCTTTTACAAACTTTTATGATATATTCATGTGATAGAGTTATTTATACTGATACTGATGTGATAACCTCTTTGATTCAAATAAGGATATCCTTCACCTCGTTACTGCTAATATTCTTAACTGTTTGTTCTTCTCTTTGACTTTTAGAATTCTTCCTCATCATGCTTTTTGTTACAGATTTTCATCATATATTCTCTAAACCCCTTTGGATTTGAATTATTTTTATCCTCTTGATTGTCTTTCTCTGTCATTTTTTTTCCTAAAATGACAATTTTTCTATTTCTTCCCCATTTCCTAATTGCAGTTTTTCAACAGAACATAAAATCATGATAAAAAAGAATGCCGTTTAGTTGCAAAACTCCACTTAGAGTAGGTCTTGCCAGTGAAATTTGCACTGCCCTTGGCATCTTACCTGACTGTGAACTGGACTTCAGTTAGTGGCATTGCATGATGGGTGTATGCAGTTGCTCTCGGACGCCAAAGTGTAAATGTTGGTGATTGGTACTGTAAAGAGAGAGTAATCATGGCACATCCAAGAATTGCTTTATTACTTCTGATGAATTTTCACTTAGGTCTTGGCATGTGCTTTTCTGTTTATTTTTTTCCCCCTAATAACCAAAATTCCTGGAAGCAGGAGCGGCATCCACTTCCGAAATGGCTTGCCTCCGGAAACTCTTATGTACGAACAGGGCTCAGGCCGTTTGTTCATAGGGTCGCTATGAGTCGTCTACAACTTGACGAAATCAAACAACAATAACCAAAATTAAAACCTGCTTTGACTGATGTCATGTAGGAATCTTTCACACTCATATAGCGAGAGTCGTCTCTGTGTTAGATGTGTGTGAAGATGACATTGACCTTTTGTCCTCCATCCTCAGCACTCGACCTGCAGCAGTGTGGACTCACCAATGAAGGGGCTCGTACTTTTCTAAAGGCTCTTGAAAACAACAGAACTTTGGTCATTCTGGATATAAGGAAAAATCCACTTGTTGGTATGTCACCATCTATTTTCACTGGTTAACAAATAGCAAAACAAAGATCATTTGGTTATGTATTGGCAGTTTTTAAAATTTAATGTGGTTTTTTCTTAATGCTGTTTGTTACCATGAGCTTTTATCTTTTTAATTGCTAATTTATTGATTTAAATGGAAAGTAAACAAAAAGTAATAGAATTTTGGACAGTGAGAAGGAGAAGAATGCCATAAAGTAAGGAGGCCAAAGGAAAGCGAGTGGAGCTGACTTTTTAGATACTAAGATTTGTCAGGGACTGCTTCAGGAAAGAAGTGACATTTGAGCAGAGACCTGGCTGAAGGAAGCAGGGAGTGCACAGTCAGTGGGCTGGTTGGAGTACGGCAAGCAAGACACATGTGTTCTGTGGCACTGAGTGATGAGGTCAGAGAGCTAGCCAGGGCTTTATCTTGTAAGGCTTTGATGATCAGGTGGACTCAAATATACATGAGGGTGTGAGCAAGAAAATAAATGGTCTGATTTGAGTATTGTTTTCAGAATGTTCACATTGGTATGGAAAACAGAACTATAAGGGAGGAAAGAATAATACAGACACATTTGGGAGACTGTAATATGAAGTGGTCCACTTGAGGGAAGGTAGTGACTTAGATCAGAGAAGGAAATGAAAGTAGTGAGAAATAGTTGAATTCTGACTATGTCTTTAAGATGTAACGGACAGGATTTTAAGATTGATTAGATGTAGCATACAAAGGAAAGAATAAGTTTGAAAGACAAAAAAAAAATCCCTAGATTATTCTGCATGCAACTGGATAATAATCACTTCTTAACCGGAGAGGTTGGGAGAGTCACACCTTCGAGGTGACGTCAAGACTTTGGTTGGACTCCATTAAGTTTAAGATGCCCATGAGGTATCTTATGTGTCTAGATCATGCCCAGCATCTTGATTTTTCTATCCACTTGTATCCAAAGCTACTTTAGATCCAAAAGATGCAGATTTAGTCTTTGCTGCTAATAAAATAGGTGTTAGAAGCAATATGAATCTCTGGTGGTACAGTCTTCAGCATGCTGCACTGCCAACCACTAAGGCCAGATGATTTGAGTCTACCAGTGGTTTCATTCTATCAGTGGCTCCCAGGAGAAAGATGAGCAGTTGCTTCCTAATAAAATTCACAGCCTCTGATAGTTGCTAAGAGTCAGATTCAACTTGGTTAATTTGAGAGGCAATATGCAAAGTGGCATGGCTTAGCTTATGTGTTTGAGGAAGAAGTAGAAATCTCAAAGGGAAAAATTACATATTGCTGTGGCATAATTACAGCAGTGCAAATTTGATGTTTAATTTATAGGACAAGCAATAATTAGTTATCTTGTTTTTTAAAAGTTAAATTGACACTGATACACAATTACTGTAATTTCTGTTTTCATTTTACTTTAGATAATTCTGTAATGAAAGCAGTTATCAAAAAAGTTCTCTTGAACGGAAGGAGTGCTAAGTCAGAGGTATAACATGTTTTTATTTTTCTGTTGTTGTAATGAGTAAAGTATATTTTAATGTAAAAAGAGATAATTAACCTTTAATAGCTAGTCGCTTAATAAAAACCATTACCAAGATTTCCTGCCATCTTAAATTTTCAGTCCAATAGCTTTTCTGGTTTTGAAAAATAATTGTCTGAGTGTTTAATTTGGTATACCAGAAATGCAGTTCGCAAACTCTCTAATTTCTTATATCCATGGAAGGTCAAATCTTCATGAAATGCCTATTACTAACAGGGAATATTTGACGTCTCTTGCAGTACCAGTGGATAACTTCTCCTTCCACAAAGGAGCCATCTAAAACTGCTAAACAGAAAAAGAGAACTATAATTCTTGGAAATGGACACAAAGGAAAAGCTACTATTCGAATTGGTAACCTTTTCTGTCTTGGCTTTTTAACGTTTTAGAACATATCCTCCTCAGGTGTATTAAACTATCTTTTCATTTAAGATTGACGAGAACAGTCAGTATTTCATATATACTATGAGCATGGTAGTTGTAACACAAATGATGAGGACTTATGGAATTTAGAAATAGTAAATTAATAACTAGGAAAGGAGAGCTCATCTTTAATTAAACATGTTTGGGTATTTTGGAGGCTTTGTTTTGTTTTATATTTATTTTATATTGGTTTACATACAAAAAATGTTTCACATTTTCCTTCACATTGTGTTTCATGTAATCATTTTATGAAATACATTGTATTTTATAAAATTCATTGACTATGCAAAGGCACTTGACTGTGTGGATCATAACAAACTGTGGCTTACTCTGAGAAGAATGGGAATCCCAGAACACTTGATCGTGCTAATGAGAAACCTATACTTGGACCAAGAGGCAGTCTTCAGAACAGAGCAAGGAAACACTGCATGGTTCAAAATTGGGAAGGGCGTACACCAGGGATGTGTCCTGTCTCCATACCTTTTCAACTTGTACGCAGAACAGATTTTCCGGGTGGCTGGGCTCTATAAGGAGAAATGTGGGGTCAAGATTGGTGGAAGATCTTTCAGCAATCTGTGATATGCAGATGATACAACCCTACTTGCTGAAACTGAGGAGGACCTGAAGTGCTTGCTGCAGAGGGTCAAGGACTGCAGCCTACAATATGGATTGAGGCTCAATGTCAAGAAGACAAAGATTCTCACCACTGGACCAGTTGGCAGCATCAGGATGGATGGTGAAGAGATTGAGAGTGTTCACAGCTTCAGTTTGCTTGGCTCCACAGTCAACACTCTGGGCACCAGCAGGCAGGAAATTAGAAGACGCATTGCCATGGGAAAGTCTGCTGTTAGGGACCTCTCCAAAGTACTGCAGAGCAGTGGTGTCTCTTTGGAGACTAAGGTGCCATGGTCTTTGATATCACTTGTTATGCATCAGAGAGTTGGACAATGACTAAGGAGGATAGAATGAGAATTGATGCCTTTGAGCTGTGGTGCTGGAGAAGAGTATTGAGGGTACCATGGATTGCTAGGAAAACAAACAGATTCATCCTGAAAAGTGTCAAACCGGGACACTTGGAGGCAAGTGTGCCATCGAGTCGCTTGCGACTCATAGTGACCCTATGTACAACATCCCAGCTCCTTGGAGGCAAGGATTCTAAGGCTCTGTCTAACATACTTTGGACATGTTGCAAGGAGGGAAAGGTCCTTGGAGAGGGATATCATTCTTGGTAGGGTGGAGGGACATTGCAGAAGGGGAAGGCCCCCTATGAGGTGGATTGATTCAGTTACTGGGGTAATCAGGATGGGTGTGTCAGAGACGGTGCGATTGGCACAGGACAGGGCAGAGTTTAGGGATGTTGTACATAGGGTCGCTATGAGTCGCAAGCGACTCGATGGCACATAACAGCAACAACAACAGCAGTCACAAGTAATCTGTGCCTGCCATTACTCCATCTTTTCAGGTTCCTGCTGAATCTTTCCCATTTTCTTGACCCCCTCCATCCACCTACAAAATTCTACTACCCCTTGATTTCCCACATCCACTCAGCCTCCCTTCCCTATCCACTTCCTCTTTTCAACCTAAATGAGTATTTTATTAGTTATTCTGGCATATTTACAATAATGGCCTTGTGCAGTATATGTCCTTAGAGACTTAAGTTAGTTCACTGAGCATAATCACTGGTAATCAGATGCAAATCAAAACAATGAGATACCATCTTACTTTAGTAGCAGTGGCAAAGATTAACAGGATAGCAAACAAATGTTGGAGAGGATGTGGAGAGATTGGAACTTTCATATACTGCTGATGGGATTGTAAAATGGTATAACCACTCTGGAAGGCAGATTTGCATTTGTGCAAAAAGCTCAACATAAAAATTCCATACCCAGCTATTGCACTGCACGGAATATACCCCAGGGAAATTAGAACTAAGACACAAGTGAAGATTTGTACAACAGTGTTCCTAACAAGGTTCACAGTACCAAGAAAATAGAGACAGCGCATACATTCAACAATAAACCAATACTAGATTGAGAAGTTGTGGTACATTCACATGATGGAATACTATGCAGCATTCAGGAGCAATGATTTAGAAAAATATTAATAACATGGGAGAGACTGGAGAGCATTATGTTTGGTTTTCTAATTTAAAAAATCCATTTGAGTACTTTTTTTTACTTCTGATATGTCTAATATTTTGCAGTTGAAGTTTGAGGTAAACTTTTATGACAGTTTATTTAGAAGTTGAGCTTTTGAATGATTTTCTTTTTAAAATGAAGAATTACTCTTCCAAGCTGCAGGAAACAAAATTTCTTCAGCTCTTTTTTTTTCGCCTACTGAATGAGATACTTCTGAATTTTTTTAAGATGATAAAATTTCAAACATATATGATCTTATTAAAAGAATGGTATAAACAAGTTTCTTGATATAGAATATTTTAAGAGAAATATTCTCTAGCTATTTACTATAATGTAATCTTTCAAATAATAATTAACCAGAATTTTTAAAACAAGCCCATAATTTGGTGATAACGTTTAATGGGGGGAAAAAATTTAGTATAGACCCTGTTAGCAGCCACCTCCTCTTACTGCTGTTGTATCAGAAGCAACTCACAGCAGACCTTCCAGTGGCCTTAGAAGCTGTTAATCTCACGGGAGGAGATTGCCCATCTTCCTCTCAGAGAACAGCTGTAAATTTGAACTGCTAGAGAGGAGCTTGAACTTCTTCCTTCATCACCACAGGCTTTTGCTCATACATTGTTTCATGAAATTCTTCTGTGTCCAGTACCTTTTGGCACAATGACTGTTTACTCTTAACATCTTCTTTTAATACTTCCTGGATCATTTAATATTCTGCCCGAAGCATCTTTAAATATTGCTACTTAAGGCTTGAATTTGTTCCTCAGTTCCTTGAGCTTAAGAAATGCTGAGCAAGTTCGGCCACTTTGATTTTCTGGCTCCAGCTCTTTGCAGGTTTCACTATAATACTTTACTTTGTCTTCATATAGGCCTGATGAAACCTTCTGTTCAGCTCTTTAATATCTTGATTTCTTCCTTCTGCTTTGACTTCCAGGTGCTCTAGTGCAATATTCAGAGTCTCTTCTGACATCCATCTTGGTCTTTTCTTCCTCCTGTTTTTGTAATGCCCCAGGAATTGACGGCATCCTAATTGATCTATTTTAGCAAACATATGCTGCCCTAGATGTGCTCACCAAGGTGTGCCAACAAATCTGGAGAACAACTACCTGGCCAACTGACTGGAAGAGATCTATATTTATTACCATTACAAAGCAAGGTGACCTGACAGAATGGAAATTATCGAACAGTATTATTAATATCACATGCAAACAAGATTCTGCTGAAGATTATCCAAAAAACGACTAGAACAGCACATCAACAGAGAGAACTGCCAGAAGTGCAGGCCAGGTTAAGAAGAGGCCGTGGTACTGGGGATATTGTAGCTAATGTTAGATGGACCTTAGCTGAAAGCAGAGTGTTCCAGAGGAATGTCTGGTTTCATTGACCATGCAAAGGCATTTGATTGTGTGGACAGCAACCATGGCTGCCTAAGAAGAATGGCAAGCCTAGAACACTTGATTGTGCTTATGCGAAGCCTCTACTCGGACCAGGAGGCAGTCATCAGAATAGAGCAAGGAAACACTGCACTGTTTAAAATTGGGAAGGGTATACGCCAGGGATATGTCCTATCTCCATACCTTTTCAATCTATATGCAGAACAGATTATCCAGGAGGCTGGGCTCTATGAGGAGAAATGTGGCATCAGGATTGGAGGAAGACTCATAAACAATCTGTGTTATGCAGATGACACAGCCCTGCTTGCTGAAACTGAGGAGGACTTGAAGTGCTTGCTGCAGAAGGTCAAGGACTGCAACCTTCAATATGGATTGAAGCTCAACATCAAGAAAACAAAGATTCTCACCACTAGGCCAGTTGGCCACATCATGATAGATGGTGAAAAGATTAAGATTGTAAATAGCTTTAGTTTGCTTGGCCACACAATCAACACTCTTGGTACCAGCAGCCAGGAAATGAAAAGACAAATTGCATTAGAAAAGCCTACTGTCAGAGACCTCTCCGAAGTACTGAAGAACAACATTGTCAATCTAGAGCCTTAAGGTGTGCCTGATACAGGCCATCACCTTTGCAATCACCTGCTATGTGTCAGAGAGGTGAACAATGACTAGGGATGATAGAAGGAGAATTGATGGCTTTGAGCTGTGGTGCTGGAGAAGAGTATTGAATATATAATCGACTGCTAAGAGAGCAAACATGTTTGTCCTGCGGAGGGTGAAACAAGGCTGCTCTTTGAAGGCAAGAATTCTGAAGCCTCATTTAACTTACTTTGGACATGTTGCAAGGAAGGTCCAGTCCTTGGAGAGAGACATCATGCTTGGGAAGGTGGAGGGACAGTGCAGGAGAGGAAGACACTTGATGAGAAGGATTGATTCAGTAACTGGGGTAATGGGGTCGGTGTGTCAGAGACAATTAGATTGTCATAGGATAGAGCAGTGTTTAGGGCTGTTGTAAAGAGGGTCACTATGATTCGCAGGCAGCTCGACAGCACATAACAACAGCAACAAGAGAGGAGCTACCTTTGAGTTAGCAGCAACACTTCTCCCTACAGACTAGGCACCAGAGCTCTCTCTAATAACCAGCAGCATCAATTTCACAGCCAACTGAATATATAAAATCCTTGTTTAGTTATATAGGGAAAATCAGCAAAACATTTGCAGCAAAACCAAAATTAAGTTATACAGAAAAAAATTAGCAATGAAATAATGTTTTATTTGGAAACTACCTGAAATGTGAAAGTATGTATATTTCTCTAGAAATTTTTATTTTGGCTAAAAAAAGTATCCACAATAACAATGGAGGGAGAAAATGGAAGCCACTCATTTTGTCATCCTTCAAGCAGTGTTTACATTTCCATTTTCTCTGATTATGATTTTTCACATAGCTTAAATATGATTTTGCATATCTTCATAGTAAATTTACAACATTGGAGGATAAATAGTTATGCTTTTTAATGCATATGAAACAATTATGTTAAACAGGTCATCATTTATTACTGACGATAAGTTAATCCCACATAACTTTAAAATGCTGCTGGAAGCATCACGAATACAACTTTTATTAAAAGATATGCTCTTTTGATTCACCCTTTACCATCTCGGCTTGTTTGGCCAATAATCAATTGCACAGCATTTCTTTAAAAACCAAAAACCAAACCTATTTCTACTGAGTCAGTTCCAACACTGAGCAATCCTATAGGATAGGCTAGAACTGCTGTATAGGATTTCCAAGGTTATCATTTTACACAAGCTGAGTACCACTTCTTCCCTACAGAGTGGCTGGTGGGTTCAAACCACCAACCTTCTGGATTGCTGCTAGGTCCTTTAACCACCAGGACTTTTCCAAGCATTTATTCCAAGTAGTTATTAAGAGAGTTTACCAAATCAAAAGAAAGTTTAGTGATAGTAGTAGAAGTATGTGCTGTTGAGCTGCAGATTGCACAGGAAGAGATTGCCTATCTTTCTCCTGTGGAGCATTTTAGGGCCTTATTTGGTAAAATTTTATTAGGTTCTTTGTGCTTACTTAATTATTTATATACATAAAAAACTGCTAAATCAGTATTTTTTAGAGGAGGTTTGAATAATGTATGCCAATTTTATCGGATTGATATTTTAATTATGTATTTTAAAAAAATAAGTAACTTTTATCTTTTAACTAAAGGGTAACTTAGTTATTCCCTAATAAGATAACTGTAAAATATTTTAGTTGAAAACATATGCTTTTCAATAACAAAAATAAAATATTGTCAAATGATGTCCATTTACATGTGCATGTGTGTGAGAGGGCTATGCATACACCACCCTGCTGTCATCAAGGTGACCCTGACCCAGCTGGGGCCAGCTGCCTCCTCTTTCTCCCAGGGCGCGGCTGGTGGGTTTGAACCACCAATTTTTCAGATACATATATTTGCATTTCTCAAAGTTAAGGAACAAGTATGGCACAGAAATGATGTTGATGAACAACATCATTCTTTTTTTTTTCCTGAGGGGAATAAAGTTCTAAAACAAAATTAGATTTATTGAGCTCATCAGAACCCTGTAAATTTATCCAGAGAAATTTCAGTATTTAAGAATTATTTCATCAATAAGAGATGCAAATCAAAACCACAGTGAGATACCATCTCACCCCAGTAGCAATGGCAAAGTTTAGTAGGATAGCAAGCAATAAATGTTGGACAAGATGTGGAGAGGTGGGAACTCTCATACACTGTTGGTGGGATTGTAAAATGGAACAACCATTCTGGAAGACAGTTTGGCATTTCCTCAAAAAGTTAAACATAAAAACTCCATCTGAGGCGAGCTCTGGTGGCCTAGTGGCAAGAAGCTGCACTGCAATCCTAGAAGTACGTGGTTCGAATCCACCAGATGCTCTGCTGGAGAAGGAGGAAAAATCTCCTCCTATACCAGTCAGATCTGATTTGGTGGTAGACACACATAAAACAATAAAAATAAAATTAAAAAGAAAAACAACCAAAATCCCATATGACCCAGCTATTCCACTAGTAGGAATTACACCCCAAGAAACTTAGAACTGAGACACAGAGATTTGTACACCGATGTTCATGGCAGCTTTACTCACTATCACAAAAACACAGAAATAGCCCAAATGTCTAACCACAACCAAATGAATTGAGAAATTGTGGTACATTCACACAATGGAATACTGTGCAGCACTCAGGAGTAATGATTTTGAAACATACTATGTAACTTGGGAGAGACTGGAGAGCGTTTTGCTGAGTGAACTCATGCAGTCTCATAAGGACAAATAGTGCATAAGACCATCATTGTAAAAGTAGAAGGAAAGCAAGTTAAACACGTACAGGAACTCAAAGCAGGGGAGCAGAGGGTTAAGGATAGGCAGAGTTGAAACCATGGGGCTGCACAGTTTGGTGGGTGGAGGGAAGCAAATAAGAATGATCCAGGGTGAAGAAACAGGGTAATGATGGGCAAGATCCAATAGTGATTGATTTTATAAAACATAATGCATGAGAATGATTGTATGAAGCACAATGTGAATGAAGAATAGTGTGAAACACAGTGTATATAAACTTTGTAAGCAAACCAATTTTAAAAAAATAATGTAAAAAAACCAAAAACCCAAAAGACAATTATTTCATGATTTCCCAGAAGTTTGGATGATAACTACCTGGTCAACTGACTGAATTGTGGTGGTGAAGAGTACTATACCATGGAGTGCCAAAAGGACTAAGCAAATCTGTTTTGGAGGAAGTGCAGCCCAGGTGCTCCTTCAGAGGGAAGGATGGTGAAACTTGTCTTACAATCTTTGGATGAGTTGTCAGGAAGGACCAGTCTTTGCATGATGCTAGGAAAAATAGAGTCTGGACAGCTAAAGAAAGATCCCTTACAAGATGGCTTGACAGAATGACTACAGCAGTGGGCTTGAGCCTGGTGGAGATTGTGGTGATGGTGCAGGGTGAAGGCAAGGTTTCCATCATAACGTCAATACTAGTCATACGAACTTGATTGCTTTAGAAGTTCCCCTCCTAAATACAGCTATTCTTGCTTTAGGTGTAACAATTACTTGAGCACGCCACAGCCTCCTCACATTTTTACGATTATTAGTAGGTTATATTATTTGAAATATTTGTGCTGTGTGACAGTATTTTATATGCCATACTAATTACACCCATTCCTCACTTATCTACAAGGTCAGGATCCAATGACCAAGTTGTTATTTGAAAATGGAGGATGGTGACATTATCTCACTTGTGTTCTGAACTTCTCTTGGGATTCCTAGTGAAAGCACCTGTCACTGTTACCTCCCACTATAGGCTATGTCACCTTAGTAGAGCTCAGTCCACCTCCACCTGTACCCAGTGTTCCAGAACCAGGGTGGCTTAGGTGCCATCTCCATCACCTAGTCAGTGCCTACTCCTGCCCTAACATTTTCATAATGGGTAGCCCTAACGCATCCCTCAGTGACCCCATGGTGCCCTTTGTTAGGGGCAGAGTTGTCCTTCTGTTTGCAGGTAAGAGAGCCTAAGTCCCATGGGGTGGGGACGATTCACACTACCCATTGGGTTCTCTTGCCACCACCGCCACCCTTCCCTCCGCATCTCCTTGAGAATTGACAGTCTGTAGCTTCGTCCATGACAGTGCCAGCCAGACAGGACCTTAAACTGCCACCGTACCGTTATTGCTGGCCTCCACCCTTTCCAGGTAGCCTGCCTTACCCTCATCTATGCCCATTCAAGAGTAGGTATCGAGGAAGCATAAAAGTGATTTTTTGTCTACTGGTGTGAGATAGGAAGTCTTTTGGATGTTGAGCATCCAAATGCCAATCACAGGGCATCTTCTGACCATGACCCTGGTGCCCTTGGAGCTGAGGGCTGAAGCTCGACCTTGAAGTCCTGCTTCCTTGATGGCCCACCTTCAGGACATTATCTGCCAGTGCCTGGACCTTAGCTCCCCATGACCACCCCAGATCTTCTGAGCAGCATCTTATCCATTGACTCCATCCTAGCCCCACCTCCACTCGATCCAACAACCCTGCAGCTCAGGGAAATCACACCTTATCTCTCCTCCAGGTAGTGACATGTGAAACAAGTGTCCTTTCTGTGTGTACCTAACGTCTACTAGTCAGCGTCTTCAGCATTGATTTTTTTTTTAGTGTACAACTAGTCAGATATTAGATTTATTACTATTGTCTTAGTTATAAATAACAAACTCATTGTTAAGTGAAGAGGAAGTATAAACTGTATCTTTTCAAATCTGTTAGAAGAATCACTCCAGTCTAGTTGTCATTGATTTGATGCAGACTCATGGCAGCCCACATGCTTTATATGATTGTCAGTCGCTGGTTTTTCAGAAGTAGATTGCCAGTTCCATCTTCTGTAGTGAGGCTTAAACCATTTGGTTAGCAACTAATTGTACTGACTGTTGCACCCTCTCCAGGGACTGAAGAATAACCATTTTAATTTACCTAGTCTCAGTAATATTAGAAAAAATAAATTTTTTTAGTGTAAATGATATACATAGATTTGTCTTTTTTACCAAAGATTTCATTGAAAGATACTTTTTAGTACAGAAATTGAGGATAATTCTGAATGTTTCCATCTGTATGCTATGGTCTACAAACCCCTACAGGAAGGTTTAGTCTTGTGTCTGTAGGAGTTTGCAGCAGAGAAAAATATCTCTTAGATTGAAAACTTGGTCTATATTAGAAAGTTAGACTTGGCAAGCTTCAAGGGCTATGTTCACCTGTCCTTGGGACTCTTAAATGCTAAAGATTTAAGTAGACTATATTCTTTTATATGATGAAAAATCAATAGTATTCCATTCTTAGTTTTATTATTCTATATTCTGTACCTTTCCAGTATACAACTATTATTTCATTAAAACTATAGCTCGTTGCATTAGAAAACTTGGTTTCATACCATTACAAGCCTGGGTACACCTTTACAAAATGATCCTGCTTTGTTGACTATGGCATCATTGTCAGGTGCACATTTGTACTCTTTGAAGAATATGCACATGGGATAATGGCTCTGGAGACCCTCGCTCTTAGTTTCACAATGGTTCCTCCAACACAGGACTGGCTACAAAGAAACCTGTGAACAGTGGAAGAAAGCACCTCCTTGGTAAAGAATATTACGCCCCTGAACCTCTCCCACCTGGTGTGTCAGGTTTTCTGCCATGGCGCACTGCATTGCGAGCAAAAAGGAACAGGTAGGGTGTCTTTATTCTGTTTTCAGGCATTCAGAATCCTTTATTTGGGAGACCTCTATCATGTGGAAAGTCTTTCCCATTTGGAGAAGAAAAATGACTCACTCATAGCTTCTGTCTAATGAACCCCTTAGGAAGAGCAGCAAAAAATAATTATAATTGGGAGTTTAAAGTCCTTTCCTAATTGTCATAACAAGTGTAACCCTGTGGGAATTTAGAGGAGATTTAAACTATCATCACTTGGGGAGGTGAATAAGATTCTTGTTAGAGGATTGGGTAGTTGTTATAAGTTTCTGTGGAACAGAAGTACAGTGTGGTTAGACAGAAATGAGAAGATAAGCATTTTAAGCACAAGGAAGAGTTTTGTGCAGAATCAATTGGACTAACTCAGTAGACCTCACTCTAAATTTTAACAACTCAGGCCAGTTATTGGAATCATTGCTTATTATTATTATTATTATTATTATCATCATCATCATCATCATCATCATCAACTGCCTGCACAGTCCTTTTTTTCAAAGAAATGTAAAAGTCTTTAAAAAGTGTTATTGTACAATATTAGCCTGATTTAGTAAGTGAGTGTTCTAGATTATTTTCAGATTACTTGCTTTGATAGTCTTGAAGAAGTCAGAGATTAACAAATACTGTAAGAAAACACCGAACATAGATTTTAAATATGATTTGAAATACCAGTGTGTGAAATATCTCTTCAGTTGCTTTCTTTAACTTTTATGAGAATAGCCTTCATTGGGCAACTAACAACTGTGCTGTTTGCAAATGGAAATATGAGGCCTAAGCAGTGCTGAGGTCCAAGTGTCTACACTTTAGTTTGATGGCTTTGGTGTCATTTCTTTTCCTAAAACATGTAATGATACCAGTCAAGCCTGATCACAAGTTGTATATTAGAGGACAGTTTGAAGAAGTTGGAGTAGAAATCTCAACTATCCTAAACAGTGCCTCTGCGCAGTTTAGAGTTACCACAAAAACAATCTGCTAACTACCTTTGCATTTTCTTCATAGATTATCCTAGATGCCTATTTTGTCTTTATTTTCTTTTATACACAAGTTTATATAGATCTTTTGCCATTCATGGGGTTTTCTGAGGCCTGCCGTTTGAGAAGTGAATGGCCAAGCCTGCTTCCTGCTCTGTATTTATCTGAGAGGGTGACTCTTGTGGTATTTGACAAACTGGTGGCATAGCTTTCAGCATCACAGCAACCCCTGTATAGCAAACTGACAGACAAGTGCTGTACTGATTAGAACAGTGTGTTCCCCAAATCCAACAAATGGACAGTTTAGTGTTGTATCTCTAATAGCAGAAGAGGCATTCAAAGATCATGTTACCAGATCCAGTTGAAACCTGCATAGATGTGACGGAATGCACTCCTGAAAAGGTGTTGAGGTGTTACGGCTGAGACACAGGACTGGCACACTGGGATAACGTCCCCTTAATATGTGGATATTAAGGTCACATGAAAGTCTCAGCTAAATCATTGCAGCTACTACTTCACATAAGGCCTGAAATACAGTGTATGAAGTACAAGTTTGTTCGTTAATTTTCAAGTCTTTAAAATGAAGCCACAAACTGAAAAACCGCAAAGAGCTTATTAGCAATGCCAATGATATCCTATGTTGAGTCCTAAATCTCTGTGTGGAAACTTTGGAGAGCTCATAAGAAGAGTTCACGCTAACATCAGCACCCGTGAAACGTCTCCTGTACATTCTTATATAAAAATCCATTTTTTTAAATTGTGACTAAGTGGTTAAGAAAGAATTGTAGTACCTTTTGCTTTAGAAGTTAAGATTTATAACCAGAATGCTGAGTAAAAAATTGACACTTTTAAAAGTTTAAATTATAAGTATCTGGAAATTCTTTTTTGTGGCAGCTTATGAAGTGTTGATCTCCAGGAAACCACTGTATTTTTATAAAAATTTAAATTCATTTTTTATTTCTCCTTAGGGGTTTTCCATTAATCAAGACTCGTGATGTCTATAATCATTTGCAGGTATGTAGTTATCCCGTTTATTATCATAGCAGGCTATTGGGGTAGAAGAGGCAGGAGATGGTTTTCTTAAAACTGAGCAAAGCCTTTTGAGAACTTTCTTTCAATGTGAAGTAAACCCATTTAAAATGTTCTAGATTATTCTTCCAGTGCTGTTGCCTGATTGTGGACAGTGTGTCTCTCCCAGGACGTCCTTGTGCTTTCAGGAAGTGTCTGTTTGGGGCCACTTGTATAAATTCTGTCACTACAACAAACAACAAAGCAGTAAATCCCAAAACGTGTTTGTTGTAGGGTTTTTTTTGGTTGGGGTTTTTTGGTTTTTTCCCAGCTAGTTCTCCTTTTTTCTCAGAAAGGTGTAAATGGTGTCTTTCCTGTCACATTGATGATTTGGAGCAAGCTACTCCTGTTAGAGTATCAGTTTCTGCTCCCTAGTTGTCTTAGGGGGATGTCTGGTGGCCTAGTGGTAAGGAGCTGTGCTGCCAATGCAAAGGCACAAAGTTCAAATCCACAAGCTACTCCACTGAAGGCTAGGCATTCTCCTGTGCAATTTACTGCCTGTGAAAACTCGCTGGAGGATCAGCTGTATGGTATGTTACACAACAAAAAAAATTGACTTAGAGAATTATACAGAATATTTCTCTAAAACATAATCACCACTGAAATTGAGAAAGAAGTACCCTAATCTATTGGTACTGCTCCTGAGTGATCCAGAGAAGGGGTGGGGGGACCTAATTACACCATTTAGATTTTATATACTTCAGTTTACTGCTTATTGTAGGAATTATAGCTCAATGAAATATCTATATGATCATATCATTCTAACACTCTTCTTTGTTGATATATACAATTTTTATATGATTGTATATCAGGGTTCATCCGTCCTGGTATCGTTTGGATACCAGAGCTTAGAAATGTTCTATTGAATAAATTCTAATGTCATTAAAACTTGACAATAGAGTTGTATTGTTATACTCATTTTGACTTAAGGCAAGTTTTTGATGGGTCAGTTTTACATTTGTGTGTAAATGATATATATTAAAAGAAATACTATTGATGGAATTTCTTCCCTAGAAAGTATATTTTCTTCCAGATTTTGTGTCTAGTGGTAGAGGATAAATTTCTGTCTTACAACATAGATCTAAGAAAAAAGGTTTAGACTCCTTACTTGATTTATGTCAAAGAAATTTAGTAAAATAATATGAGAAATTCCAGAGGAAGACCCTCGATGAGATGGATCGATTCTGTGATTGGAGTGGTGGGAATGAGGATGTCGGAGATGGCGAGGTTGGCACAGGGTAGAGCAGCGTTTATGGCTCTTGTACATAGGGTCGCTATGAGTCATAAGTGACTCAATGGCACATAACAACAAACAACAACAATCATAGCCCTGTAAGACACAGTTCTAACCAATAACACCAGAATAAGACATTGCTCTTTAATTTTGTGGTTGATTGTTTACGTTAAGCAGTAGCGAAAGTCATTTAAAAATAGCAACTTAATACTTTGTAAAGATCACAGTTTTGATACTTGATTTATATTATTACTTACACACACATTTCCTCTTTATTTAAGCAATCTGATTTTCCTGTAACTGTCACAATAGAAAGTCCTTCATCTTCAGAACTTGAAGAGATTAATGATTCTTCAGAAAATGTTCATGAAGCACCTGAGAAAACGAGTGTGAAACAAGAAACATTACAGGTACAAAGTTTTCCTCTTAAAGACATGTTGTTGTTGTATGCCATCAAGTTGCCTGCGACTCATAGCAACCCAGTGTGCAGTAGCTCTGAAGGCTGCCCTATCCGGCCTGAGTCAGTCTCACAGACTCCAATACACCTAGCCAGTTACCCCAGTTACCATGTCAACCCATCTCATCCGGGATCCCTCTACCCTTCCAAGCATGATGTCCTTCTCCAAGGACTGGTCCCCCTGGCCATGTGCCGAAGTATGAGATGGAGCTTCAAAATCCTTGTTTTCAAGGAGAAACTTGGTTTCTCCCTCTCCAAGACAGACCTGTTTAAAACATCTCTGTGTTTTAAAGACATGTTGTTGTTCTTGTTAAGTGCCGTCAAGTCTTAGGCGACTCATAGCGAACCTATGAATGAAAGTCCTGGACACCTGTATAACTTTCGTCCTTTCTCCAGGTTCATAGGGTTTCCAGAGGCAAGCTATTATGGAAGTGGATGCCACTCCTGCTTCTAATTTAAAGACATAGAGATGGTTATTTTAAATGTAGCTAGTATGTGGCTGGATACAAGATTGTGAAACAACGCTGGACAGCTTTTGTTAAGAATCCTGTTTTTCCCTTCTGCTGCCCACTCTCAAATGACTCCTCAGCTGAAACCAAACTGAAACAAGGGCATTTGCATTCAGAAGAAATAAAATCAGAATCATCAGATTGGGCAAATGAAATGTGGTGTGTACAATAATAAAATAGTATTCAGTCAAGAGAAAAGTGAACTGGGGGAGGTGGGCAGGGAGGAAAATGTACAATAATGAATGAATTAAAATCCAAGTTCTCTATAAACTTTCATTAAAATCTTAATTAAAATAATAACAAAAAAAGAAAGTAAAATTCTGTATCAGTGTGGATGAACTCTGAAGCATTTGAACTGAAATTAGAAACAGAAAGGCAGTTAAGAGATAGCCAGGACAAAAGGCCAGTGCATAGAAATGGGAGTTCCAAAAAAAAAAAAAAAAAAAAAGAAATGGGAGTTCCCAGGAGTTGAGGGGGAAGGGAAATGAGAGGCTGGGAGGGTTCTACTGGAATTGATGGAGACGTCTTAGAAATAGTAGTGATGATTGTACAAAACAAAGAATATAATTCATATAACTGAATTGTACATGTTAAAGTGATTGAAATGGAAAACATTGGTTTATGTATTTCACCACAATAAATGTTTTTTAAAATCATCATAATATCCTTTTCCTAGAATTTGTTATATTAGCTACAGAGATACCATGAAGGATTATAAAATAAACTCAAATTCATTGAGTATATTATCATATATATAATTTGAGTATAACTAAAATTTATTGAGTATATAATCAATATACTTTCAGTACAGATTAGGGAATGTATGGTTCTCTCTTTTTATAAGAGGACAACATGACTTCACTTTTCATAAAAGCAAAGTCGAACAAAGTAATATCCATTTTACAAATGGTAATCTTCAGGAATTGCAGCCTCTCTCCATACTTTTTCAACATATATGTGGAACAGAGCATCCGGAAGGCTAGGCTTTATGAGGAAGAATGTGACATCGGGACTAGAGGAAGATTCATCATCAGCCTGCGATATGGAGATGACACAACCTTGCTTGCTGAAACTGAGGAGGACCTGAAGTACTTGCTGCAGAAAGTCAAGGACTGTAGTGTTCAATATGGATTGAAGCTCAAAATCAGGAAGACAAAAGATTCTCACCACTGGGACAGTTGGCAACCCTGATATGAAGAAGAGATTGAGATTGTTAACAATTTCAGCTTGCTCACAATCAACACTTTTGGCATCAGCAGTCAGGAAATCAAAAGACAATTGCCCTGGCAAAATCTGCAGTCAAGGACCTCTCCAGAGTGCTGAAGAGCAATGATGTCAGTCTAAAGACTAAGGTGCACTTGATCCAGCCATGATCTTAGCAATTACTTGCTATGCATCAAAGAGCTGGATAATGACTACGGATGACAAAAGATTCAATGCCTTTGAATTGTGTTGCTGGAGAAGAGTATTAAACATACGATGGACTGCCAAGAGAGCAAATATGTCTATCTTGGAGAAAATACAACCAAGTTTGTCCTTGGGGGCTAGGATTTTGAAGCTCTGTTCCATACTTTGGGCTTGCAGCCAGGGGACCAGTCCTTGGATAAGGACATCATGTTCTAAAGGATGGAGGGACAGTGCAAGAGAGGAAGAAGCTGGATGAGATAAATTGACTCTATCATGTATAAACTTTTTATAAAGGATTTTTACAACAAACTTTGCATATTAAAAATACAATGATAATTTTATTTCTACTGTAATGCAGAGTTCATAAAAGGAAATGCCCATGGTGGGGTTGGGTATCATTTTTTGTGCTACAAAGGGCATGTCTCATTTTGGGAAATAATATGATTTTGTTTTAGTATGAAACTTGAACAGTATAGAAACTTCTTTAAAAGTCAAACCTATCACTTTCAAGGTGCTTCCAACTCATCACGTAGTCAAGGGAAGAGCTACCAGGGAGGGGATTGGAGGCAGTAATTTATCAAGGGAACAGATTACCAGACCTTCTTCCTGCAGAGTGGAATTTGGTTAGCAGTTCAGTGCATAATGCCCTGTGCCACGAGGCTCGCCTGTTATGTTGTTGCATGCCGTGGAGTTGACTACACCTCATAGTGACCCTGTGAACGACAGACCTGAACTTTGCCCTATCCTTCACCATCCTCATCATCTCTAATGTATTTGAGCCCATTGCAATCACTGTGTCAGTCAGTCTTGCCCACGATCTTCTTCTCTTTTGCTGACCCTCCACCTTTCCAAGCATGTTGTCTTTCTCCAAGGACTGGACTCTTCTAACAATATGCTCAAAGTATTTGAGACTAAATATCACCATCCTTGCCTTAAGAAACAAGCTGGTTTCACTCCCTCCAAGATAGACTTGTTTGTTCTTTTGATAGTTCATTACTCTCAAACTCAAATAATTTCTTCTGCCATTGTAATTGACAAAACTGTAGTTTGCGTCAGGTGCACCTTAGTCTTTAAACTGACATCGTTGTTCCTTAACACCTTGGAGCAATCTTTTCCCAATGCAGTGCATCTTTTGATTTCTTGGATGCTGATACCAAGATTATTGATTGTGCATCCAAACAATATGAAATCCTTGACAACTTCAATCTTCCCTCGAGTAATTGCTGCAGTGGTGAGGATTTTTGTTTTATTGATGTAGAGACATAATCCTTATTGAAGGCTAGTCTTTGGTGTTCAGCAGCAAGTCTTTCAGATCATCCTCACTTTCAGTGAACAAGGTTGTGTATGTCATCTGCATAACGCAGGTAGATGAATTTTCTCCAGCTCTGATGCCAGATTCTTGATAAAGTTCAGCTTTTCAGATGATTGGTTCAGCATACAGATTGAGTAGTTCTGGGGAAAGGATACACCCTTGACACACACTTGTCTATATTTTAAACCATATAGTACCTTCCTCTGTTCTGACAGCTTTTTTGATCTAGGTATAGGTTTCACATGAGCACAGGTAAGTGTTCTGGAATGCCCATTCTTCTCAATGTTAGCCATATTTTTTTGTGTTCACAGTCAAATACCTCTTCATACTTAATAACACACAAATAGACATCCTTTTGGTAGTCTCTGCTTTCAGCTAAGATCCATACCATATCAGCAGTGATTTTGCTTCTGCCATAGCCTCTTCTAAATTCAGCTTACATTTCTGGCAGTTTGAATGCACCAAGATGGGCATTCTCCTCCTATATGATTTACTGATTTTAAAAACCCACTGGATGGTCAGTTATGAGTTCTGACTCGACAGAACATAACGTAACAGCTGTTTTGGATAATCTTCAGCAAAATTTTATTTACATGTGATATTTGTGATACTATTTTATAATTTCTACATTCTTTTGGATCACTTTATTTTGGAATGGTAACAAATATGGATCTCTTCCAGTCAGTTGGATAGATGACTGTTTTCCAAATTTCTTGGCCCAAACTGATAACCCTGTGCAGGGCTACATCTGTTTGTTAAAGCAATGTCTATCCATGCGACCTTATATTTTGCCATTGCCTTCAGTGCATCTCAAACTTCTTCCTTCATTACCTTTGGTTCTTGATCATGTGCTACTTCCTGAAATGATTCCATGTCACTCAATTCTTTTTGGTACATTGACCTGTGCTCCTTTCTTTACTGGTTCCTGGATCATTCGAGATTTTGCCATAGCATACTTCAGTATTGCAACTTAAGGCTTGAATTTGTTTTTCTGTTCTTTCAGCTGGAGAAGTACCTAGCTAGTTCCTCCCTTTTAATTTTCTAACTCCACATCTTTGCAGATGTCGTTACAATATTTTGCTTTGTCTTCTCGATCTGTCCTTTTGAAATCTTCTGCTCGTCTCCCTTTATTATAAGTCTGTGAAATTACTAAGGGAGCTCTAGTGGCCTAATGGGTAAGGAGTTGTGGTGCCAACCCAAAGGCATTTGGTTTGTATGTACCAGATACTCTGCAGCAGAAAAATGGGCAGTCTCCTCCCATGTGATTTACATCTTCAGAAAACCTGCTGGAGGGTTTGCCTTGAGTCAGTTTCGATTGGACGGGGAAGAGTTGAGTTGAATGGATAGAAATTGTTATTTTTTAACAGAAGGGTTTTTTATTTTTAAAATTAAAATGAATAGAGAATATGAGAGAAATTTTAAGGTATATACTTATAAAGTTATAGAATGCTGGGAAGACTATGGATCATTTAACCTATCACTTTCATCTTATAGGGACCTCTGATGGCTTAATGGTAAGAAATTATGCTAACAACCCAAAGATGCAAATCCATTGGCTGCTCTGCAGGCAAAAGATGGGCACTTTCCTCCTCTGCTATTTACTGCCTCTGAAAGCTTTCTGAAGGGTCAGGTATGAGTTGGTTCCCTCTTGATGGTTGGAACACAAGGCTGGAGCTCATTAGCCTGCCCCTTTTGTCTTATAAATGAAGTGCTCCATAGTTAGAG